AAACTTACTTTTGCATCAAGACTGAATATGCTGTGCTGTGGTTCGTGATGTGATGAGCGTCCGCATGCCATGCGCACAAACACATTATTCCTGTCATCACGTGAAGTGGTGCATTGAGGTGGATGCGATCGAACACGTCATACCTTCCTGCATCCAACAGTCACACATTCACATTACAGTTGTTTGGTTTTGTCCAACACGACTACCAATTTCTCTGAAAGATAATCCACACCGCTATCCTTCCTCTGTCGAACTCGGATACTTGATCAAACGATGATCGCTGTTTACTTAAAAAAAACGCAAGAAAAACAGTTGCTGAACTTGAAATCGTCGAAAACTCCAAGCCTTAAATAGTGCTTTGAAGTGGTGCCACAGGCGCACGTGTTGTGCATCTGCACTGAAATTCTAATCATTTGCATATCTCACCTCCGCTAATGCATGTTGTAAATTTCATGTTATTTGCATGCTTCCTTCAGAGTGTTGCATTTACGGTGGCCAGCAGTGTACATTATTTTTCTCATTTTAATTCATTAATAATTTTATGAGTTATAAATAAAAGTTTATTTTGTAAAAACTTCTTTATTTTATTCAATAACTGCTCTAAAATGGAAATTCTTAATTCCTTTTATATATACATCCACATTGTAACTGGTAATAAATTTGTTTCTTTAGAGTGAGTGTAAGGCCTTTATCTCAAAACATCAAGATTTCTCCCTGTGCTAATGACAGCCATTACTCATTGTCGTCAGGGTTGCTTGGACCATAGTCCCCTTAGGCATTGGGGGTTGAAAGACGTACAAAAATACGGGCTAGTCCTTCTTGGCATATCTTTTTGCTATTATAAAAACACGGGATGATCTGTTTTCGAGGGTACATTTAAACTAACAATATTCCGTAACGAACCGTCAAGAGGTTGCATAAAAGAACGAGAAAATATGGGTCAAACCATTAAAGGGTTAAGTGTTAAATGTTACTGTATTTCTTATGTATTTGATGTATTATTTCATTAATGCATCGTAATAACATTTTGCAGCAACATCTTTTTGTGTTGTGTTAAAATTTTCTTATATCATTTCTCTAAAAATTATGGATATAAATAATATTTGACAGCAGCATCCTTTTATTTGTGTTGTCATATTTTTTAAATATTTTAGTATTTAATAAATATCTTACATTTTTCCAAATGGCAAGAGTCTCAGATGTTGGAGATAAAAATATTTTATTTCAAAGTGTTGCCAAGCTTGCTTTCAAATGATTGAGTTTATTAATGGAAAATTAATTCATATTTTTCAAAATATGAAATAAAAAATAATAAAAATTAATAAATAAGAAAAGTAAAATAAAATCTGAAGGATTTCAGATTTTACATTTTGCCCAAAGTGGCGTTTTTTTAACGTTTTGTGTATTACCTTTATTTATTAAATATCATGTTCTTTGCACTTAAACCATAAAATTCAATTCAATGGCAATATGTTCTTCGAAGCACCTAATTACCTGTCATCTGTGGTTATTGGTGGTCAACACATAAGGTCACTTTTATTAGACAATGCAGTAATTTTTAATAAGTAGCTAAAATTAAAGGAAACTGAGGGACCGCATTGACCATAACTGTAGGACTCTTGGTGAAGGTCAAGTGCAGGGTTATTAGTGACCATCAAAGCTATTAATCACTTTATCAATAAGTTTTCAATCAAAAATATAGACATTTCTGCGTTTGGGTAATAAGTATGTGTTAGTATAACCTGACATATAACTACAAATATGTGGAGAGATGTTTGTAATGAATGGTGTTACGTAGGATACTGGGGATTTACCAATAAGTGTTTGTTCTTATTGAGCACCCTGCTGTGATCCTTCTTACAGACTTTAAGTGATAAAAACACTGAATAATAGTACAGTCAAAAGTCGTTAATTCGGACACCCATAATTCGGAATGATCTATAATCCGGACCTCAAAACTAAAAACTTTCTGCGCATGCGCCGCGTTGACACATGCGCATAGGCGTTTACGCGTGCGCGTAAGACCTTTTACGACTGCGCATATGAGTGTGCGCAAGTGCAGAATACGTTTTCGCGTGCGCGTTTTATGTATAATGGACGTATAAGCTAAAATTATCTAATTATCTATTTCAGTTAATGTTGATGATTGCGTGGTTCCTTAATTTTCGAATTGGATCCGGCTTATTATTTTTTGCAGACTGTAAGAGCAATTTTATAAAAGTAAGCTTAAACTTTCGATTATATCAAATAGAATTTCCGATATATATTTGTTAATATGTAAAGGATCTAAAGCGAAAGTATGTTTTGAAATCCGAAATCTGTTTATCAATTTCACGCTGCTCGGCGGGGGGGGATCGCCGCGGCGGGCGCGTAATGAATTGGAAGTTGACGCCGCGGCGGGCGCGTAATGAATTGGAGGAAGTTGATCTGTCAACACTATCCTTATCTTCAGCGCAGATGTTTTTATTTTATTTGGCTTATAATTCCTTACCAAATGTAGTATTTCATCTCGATATGCTCCGTCTTTGATATGATTTAAAACAAGTTCCTCGTCATTATAATTCGCTTTCGATAGCGAAGAAAGTGACAGAGGTTATTGAAAACGAAAAAATTTCGATTGACAAATTAATCGGTGTTCTAGACACAGCAATTATAGGACTTGAACAGCGGAACTTTGTAACTGAACAAGAAATTATGTCTGTTTTAATAGAATTAAAGAGAAGTATTATCACATGAAACGAAGCAAAACTTAAACAACTTACATTGAAAGAAATGTTTAATAAAGTAAACAAATAAATATTAAGCTTTTTCTTTTTGCAAATTTTGATACCCTTTAGATCATAATTGTTCTTTATTTCATAAATTACGTTTTCATATTTTTAATTTTAGAATTTCTGCATGCCATCTTACGAGATTTAAACTGATGATCTATAATCCGGAAAAATCGATAATCCGGAATCGCCGAAGTCCCGAAGAGTCCGGATTAACGACTTTTGACTGTAATCAGTTTTGGCAAGTTTCTGCTGAACAGCTTAAAACCACTGATTATAAATGATTAAAATAATTATAAATTAAATGTAATCAAAATGTGAATAACTAAATACAGTACAAAGTTCGTAATCTGGACTTGTCGGGACTTCGACGATTCCAGATTAGGGGTTTTTCCGGATTATAGATCATTGATTTAAATCTAGTAAGATGGCATGCAGAAATTATACAATTAAAATATGAAACCGTAATTTATGAAATAAAGAGCAATTATGATCTAAAGGGTATCAAAATTTACAAAAAAAAAGCTTAATATTTATTTGTTTACCTTATTAAACATTTCTTTCAATGTAAGTTGTTTAAGTTGCTTCATTCAATACTTTCTCATTAATTCTATAAACAGACATAATTTCTTTCAGTTACAAAGTTCCACTGTTCAGTCTGTAATTGCTGTGTCACTACTTGTCAATCGAATTTTTGTTTTCAATAACCTCTGTGGTCACTTCGAATCTGGGTTAAACGCATTGCATTGGATGCGCGCGCGCATGCGTAGTTTGTGGCTTTGAGTTCCGGATTATAGATCATTTCGGATAATGGATGTCTGGATTACAGACTTTGTACTGTATTATAAAATCATAAAAGTAAATATAAAAAAATGGGAATAATCCTAAAAATGGTAATAAATTAAAACAATATTTTGATTTATTTAAATTATACATATTTTTTTTTTTAGTCTGAATTATATTTAACACCATAGAAAGTCAGCTTTGCAGAGTGCAGTTTTGCTGTATGCACAGTAAGTTTACGTAACAGCTCACAAATAGCAGCAGCAGTATTTGGCAAGGATTTACTGTACTGTAAAGAGAATATGTTTTAAAGAAGTTCAGTTATAACATTTGCAGTATTTATTGAATGGTCATAGAGCAGTTGAAGGCTGCTGTATATTTCACAATATGAATGCATTAATAACCTATATTATCCTATAACCTATATTATTATATTAATAGCCTATGTTTATCCTATATTCCACAGTTTGAATGCATTTAATAGTTTTAAATTATGATCAGAACAAAATAAAGGGAGATATATGTTTTTCATGCAATTTGATCAGTTAAAAAAAAATTTTTTTTAGTCTCATGAAGTGTGCTTGATATTTGTTTTTGTAGGTGAATATGAATGTGATTCTAGTGGGATTATTAAAAACCGAAATCTGACAGTTAGAGAAGCTAGAGATATCTTAAAGGAACGATTGCTGAAGAATGAACATTTTGAGGTATTTTATACATAACATGCATTATATATAACATTTAATGGCAGTTGTTATGAAGAGCTCCATTTAAAAATAATTATGAAAAACTGAAATGTGTCGTGTTTCAATTTCTGGTGATTTAATATAAGTAACAGTTTCTTTTTTAAGGCCAGTAGGATTTTTTTAATGTTTAATTTTTTATTAAATTCTCAATTTATTTTTATTTAAAAAATTATTCTTTAACTTTTCTTGCTTTTTAAAATTTTAGGCAGAAGATTTTGATAATTTGTTTGAACATTCAGTGAAGTTAATTAAAGATCATCCTGATTGTGGGTTAGAGTAAGTTCCAGTTTAATTTTTCTCTGAAATGTAACAAGCAATTTTTTATTACTAAATTATGTATTTATACATAATTGTATGAACAAAAATTGTTTTTCAATCCATAATACTTATAAAACACTCCATGCCAAAGCATGTGGAAGTAGTAACATTTAATAACTGAAATACATTATGCTCTTTGTATCAATTAATTTAAAAGTTCAGCAGTTAAAGTGTATGAATGGTGTATGGTGTCTTTCATGTCATAATTTGTCAAGTTGATTTCGTTTTCAGGAAACAGGTTGGGAGAGCATTAGAATTTCAAATCAAAACTTCAAGATTTCACAGAACATAGAAAACATTTATTAACGATAAACTTAATGATATAGTATATTACTTCCGCCTATAGCGGCCATGAAAGCATAATCAAGCATCAAAAAAAAGGTATGACATGCGTCATTCTTCAAGTTCAAGCGTCAAGTGGAATATTTTTCATCGGCGCACATCAAGAGCGCCTATGATAATTAAGCTTGGAAAAAATACATGAAATAAAAAAATGTCAAATGCATAAAAATGCATCAAATCCAAAAATACATTGAGAAGTAAGTATATAAAATAAAAAATTATGCTTTCTGATAACAGTGGCTTGTTTATCAGATCAGAGTCAGAATTATTTCATTATGTGTTTTGTGATTGTTTTTGTAATCCATATCTATGACAGTTTGACTGGATAAATGCTGGTTTTTAATGTGTAATTCTCATATTTTCAAATTATTTTAATGCGTAAGTTTGCATATTATTTGAATTTTTATTCTGTTTAAGTGAATAATCTTTGAAATATTTTTCTAAAAATGTGCTGTTTTCATTAATGCTGCTGCTGTTTGTGAGCTTTTGTATATATCATTTATACTCTGTAATATGTTATTTACGTCTTTCATATACCGCCATTAATAATTTAAAATATGACTTCTTAAGAGTGGCATTTTTTTCATTATTTTTATGTCTTTTAACATGAATTAAATGCTGAGGCAAGATTAATAAATATGCTGTATGCTGTTTGTAACTATACTACAGGTCATTCTAAGTTGAGAACATTGGATATACTAGAAAGTGTATGCGTCTGCCTAAGAATAGTTCTACCGTTTCGAGAAGTAGTAATGTAAAAATTACGCTGTGAAATATGAATGCTCCTGAACAAGGAGAACGTAAGGGAAAAAATTTGTAAAACGATAGATTACTTTGTGTCCAGCTTTTTAATTAAAAATGTGCTAAATCACGTTGTTGTATCTCTCAATAGAATTCTAAAAGGTAAAAAAAGATCTCTTACCTTTTCTTTCACCCGGGAGCCGAGCTTGTTCCATTCTAAATTCTTATCCGATGAAATATCTAAATTCGAAGCTTTTGCACAAAGACTGAGACTTCTGTATGATATAAACAGATTATATTTAGATACATTTATACATTTTATATACAATTATTAGGTTACATAAAAATTATGCACTCTCTCCATCTAATAGTCATTCAAGTTTAGGTTCAGAGTTCTAACTACGTTCTTACGTAGGATTATTATCGAGTTTAGATGTAATGGTGCTGATAGTTCGGAGTTTAGATGTAACACATGTCAATCATTCCATGATCAGCAGGAAGACATCACCCTTTTTTTTGGCATTATTGGCGAAACTGCAAATTTCAGCAACCCCGACTTCACCCCACTCTCAGTGAGAAAAGCAATTAAAGCAGTCATTCATTCACTGACTGGGAGGAGAAAAAAAGGCAATTGTCATGGCGTCTGCATCATCTTCGACATATGTGTTTAATTTTCAGCCTCATAAAGGTGGAAAACCATTGCGCAGTGCCGCTAAGATTAGCGTTATGAATGTTTTCGTCAAATTACGGGAGCATTTTCCTAATAAATCCGATAAAGATACTTTTACTTTTGCTGCTGATTTGACTGGCGTTTCGGTAACAAGCATAAATCGCATGAAATCCGAATTGAAGGAAAATGGAGGATTTTTGACTCCAGATAAGAAACGACCTCTGAAAGTCGGTACGCAAACCCGAGTCAAACGATATGATGAGTTAACTTTAGCAACAATACGAAGGAAAGTTCATGGTTTCTTTTTACGGAATGAAATTCCCGATGTGCAAAAAGTGGCTAAAGTTATAAATGATGAAGCTGATTTGCCAAATATGTCCATTTGCACAGTAGGACGAATTATGAATGATTTAGGATTTGCATACAGAAAACGAAAACACCAGTCAATTTTGATTGAATGTAACAATATTCAATGCTGGAGGCATAGATATCTAAGAGATATAAAAAAATATCGTTCACAGGGCAGGACAATTTGTTGTAATTGTGTTGGATAATGCATCTTATAACAGCGTTTCGTCTAAAAACATTCCTTCTTCAAGTACAAGGAAAGCAGACATTCAGCTCAGAAAAAATATTCCTTGGAAAGCTGATATGTTAAAAGCAGAAAGAACTCTTAGTTCTCGTTTCTAAGTTTCGAAAACAATTTGAATTCCATCATATAGATGCTGTAGCTGCCGAAGCCAGACATACTGTTTTGCGTTTACCACCATATCAGTGCGAACTGAACTCAAATGAACTCATATGGAGTAGTGTGAAAGGGTATGTAGCATCCGCAAACAGAACTTTTAAAAAGTTCGTAAATTGATTGAGAAAGGAATTGATTTAGTGACTTCTATGCAATGGTCTAAATGCGTGAGGCATGTAATAGAAGAGGAAAAGAAAATATGGAAATTAGATTTTCTGATGGAGAACACCGTTGAGTGCGTGCAATTTAATATTGATGAGTCGGATAGCTCAGATTCTTCAAATGATAATTTTAGCGGGATTGAATACCTCAGTTAAAAAAGGCCCTTTTCAGGGCCACAAATTATAAATACAAGGGCCGTTTTCAAGGCCACAAATTTAAAAAAAAAGCAGAACTATAAATAGTTATAAATAACATTATAAATAGAAGCTAACATCCATTAGAAAATACAATATGAAAGTATCCCACCAGTAGCCGAATGTTTAAGATCACTGAATACAGATACTTTGACAGTGTTTGAACCTTGTGGTTTTTTTCCATGTATAACGTGAATACGAGCCCGTTTCCTTTAGAAAGTCCTCCACGAATATATCTCACCCCTTAGTCAAATAGCTCTTGTGTGTTTTGCCATATTCAAATCACCTAACCTAACCAGTACGGAAGTACTGATCAATTAAGTTAACTATGGTAGAAGGAACAAGGATTTCTGTCTAAAGGATGACATGCCTTCGTGGAGACTTTATAAGGGTAAAGGACTTCCTTTATATAATACACTGAGATACTCCAATTCAGAGCTTACAGTCATTACATTACAGTTCTAATGTTGTATTTTTAACTGATAGGTACAAACTAATTGGTATAAGATCATTTTCGTCTTAATTTTTATGTTTGCTTAACAATTTTAAAGTTTTTAACCCAAACTACAAGGAATGCATTGTTAGCTCTTCCGTTTCAATTTTTAAGTAATAATTCGGGTTTTAAATGTCATCAAATTCGTATGCATCATATTTAGATTATAGTCAAAAATTCATATAAATTAAAACAATAACATGCCCTACATTTTACACCACAATGAACTAACAATTTCAACTGCAGTTTCATCGCATAAAATGATTGTTACTTAAAGATGCACTGGATTTGGCAAGAAGTCAGCAAATGTGTAGCGAATTGGAGGAATTGAATTTCTGCAGGCAGTTTGTTGCGATGGATAACTTGAAGAACAAGGTGAAAAGCTGTGAAAAGGTCGTTCTGGCCTTGTATGTGTTCTCAGGTTAGCTTGTTATGAAGTACAGGTAGAATTATCTATTTTTTTTTTAATTTCTCACTGTAACGGGAAGTAACATCTGGAATGCTAGATTGAAATGTGACTGAAAGTTAATAAACGATTTTAACATGAAAAAAATGTAAGTATTAATTTACATGTAATGAATTTACTGTTTTATTGTCTCAGTTAGGTTACATGTGTAATTAACATCTTGTAATAATGTAATGTAATTAACATCTTTTAGATGGTATTCTTTATCGAGTGACTTTGGAGTATCTAGCAGAAAGGATCCATTTCTTGATAACAGTGCCTTGGAAGCTACACAAGCTGCCAAATCATTTTGGTGTCGTGTACACCACTCTGTTCATTGGACTGCAACTAAGCTTTTTTTCATAACTATTGGTGAGGCTTTTGATAAAGATTAGTATTTTTTTTAGTATTCCTTTTATGTATTTTTTTTTTCCTGTAATGTTAATAGAAAACTTTCAGAATAAAATTGCAGTACAGCTTCATATATTTGGACTAACTAGGATACAACACATTTGGGTATTAAAAATAATTCAGATAATATGCATATCATATTCCTGTAAGCCAAATACTTATTTGTTTATATAGTAAGATTATAATAGATAAGGAGATTGTTTTGTGATTTGTCATATTTTATTTCTATAAAAATTATACACATAATCTTTTTTTAATTTAATGAAACAACTTAATTGGGTAAAAAAAAATTTTAAAAATAATTTAATTACTTATTTGTGTCAGCTTATTTAATCAAGTAAAATAATGAAATGAATACCTGTACTAAAATAATAAATTAGTTTCTGTACTAAACACATAAACTCTCTTTCATTTTTATTATAAACTATATTTTATTATACATTTTTATTATACTTTTATTGTACAGTAAAATTAACCAAAGAAAAGTGTTTATCTACATAAAGCAAAATGCATAGTGTACTAAGTTAAACTGTTTTTATTGACACTGACTAACAAAATAATAAGATTGACAGATTAATGTATATAGTCAAATTTACAAAAATTTCTTATTGAAAAGAAAAAGTCAAAAAGGGTAGTCTTAATTGTTAAAGAAATGCTACTTTTAATAGACAAGTCATATCTATCTGGTTGTAACGAAAGTTTTCTGCCAAAAAACATTCTTAAAAGTTAGGGAAAAAGACCATGAAAGCACCTTTAGTGCATATAGTAATCATCACCCTAATCTATGATTTTCTGCCAACATTTTGGTAGTTTTCAAAGTCTTTGGCCCAGAAACTTGGTGGCCGTGAGTCCAAAAACAGATCAGCCTCATTTCGGACATTCTCTGCAGAATGGAAGATAGCACCAGCAAGATGTAGCTGCAGGTGTGAAAAAAGGTAGAAGTCCGAAGGAATGGTGTGGGGACTGTGTGGAGGGTGTGGCAAAAGATCTCATTCGAGTTCATACAGAGTCAAGCTGGTGAATTCAGACACATGTGGTCTCGCATTGTCTTATTCGAACAGTACCTTTTTGCACCAGAACTCAGTTCAATGTTTTTCCTTGAAAAAGCAGCATCAACATGGACTAGCATCTTGTTGTATATCGTACTGTCAAGGGTTTTACCTTTTTTCAAATACTCTTTGTGGATAATACCATGCCTATCCCACAGATACAAAGCACGATTTTTTTGTTATTCAAACTGCGCATTGCGATGACTCACCAGGTGCAGACCTACCCCCTTTTTGGCCTGCGTTTTTGAAGTAATCAAATTTTCATCACAAGTAGTGATCCAGTCTAGAATTTTGTCCTTGCGCTCACATTCGAGTCGGTTAGTGCAATCCCAAACACGCCTGTCCTTATCTGCTTGAGTCAGCTCATGCGGCATTCAGTACGTCAAGTTTATGGGATGCTTAGTGCACTAATATACATGGCACTAACGTCTAATTCTTTAGCAAGTCTCAAATGAGTGCATATTGATCTTTTTCCACAAATTCTCACAGGCGGGCTGACCAGAGCACTCTGCTTCTTGAATTCATAGTCCTTGTTTTTTGAACTTTTAGTACCAAACCTTCACAGTGTCATATGGTACAACAGCCCACCAGCGGCCGAGCGGTAAAGTCGCTGAACACTGGTAGTTCGGTCCGAGGTTCGAATCCCGCGAACGGGCTGGCTGCATGGGCGTTTTCGTGGTTTTCCCCATGTGTAACGTGTATACGAGCCAGTTTCCCTTAGAAAGTCCTCCACGAAAGGCATCCCTCCCCTTAGGCAGATAGCCCTAGTGTGCTTTGCCATAATTAAATACACACACATACACACACACATATGGTACAACATAAGTACATAAACTGATATGCATGATTTGGTGACATTCCGTAGCAGACTTTTTGCAACAGAACTGGAAGTAAATGATAGGTCTAATCTGATAGCGTGATAGTTGCATTTCAGACCCCTCTTTTTTTATTGATAACGATATTTTTTACAAATTTTAACATCACAATGTTCTAAAGCAAGTCTCTTTCTTTCTAATGCCAAAAATCATTTGGCAAAACATGATTAAACATGCCAACAGGAACTGTTTGCACAGATGATATTTGCGGATGCAGGAAACTTTCGTTAAAACCCAATATTTATTAGCAATTATTCAAGCTACATCTAAATATAGCACCTTCAGTGCCTGAATGTGGGAAAAGTCTGTGTAAATTAATTTATTAGCTCTTTAAAAATATGCTTAGTACTGTGTTTTCTTTTTATCTTGTTCGAATCGATGAATGAAGTTAAAAAAATTAGTAGCTAATTAATTTTTTTAGGTTGGTATCCAAAGTTCTGCCTTATCATTCCATTCATTCACTTTCAGTGAATCAAAGAAATCACTAATTCCAGAACATTACTTGATCCTAACTATTAGCTGCTGTTGGAAATGCTATTTGATTCTTTGTAGTAAAAATTTGCTAATATCTGAGCAAAGAAATTGTCTGATTAAGTGTTCAGTGTCACATATGTTGTCAGGGAAGGATTGGCTGCATAATGCATTTAATAGATGGTAATCTGAAGGCACAGAGTCTATGATAATAGGCTGGATGTTTTAAGATCTTTATTCTCAGTACCTGGAGGACCATTTTCATCAACTGTAAAGTTAATCTGGCCACTGAACCTCAAGAATCATGTTATAGCATTTTGCCTGAAATCAACACACTTATTCACATCATAGTGCAGGGATTATTGTCACATTCATGGGGATCAGTTAAAAGTGAATGATACCTTTTCGGCCCCACTGGATGGGCAGCAATGTGTTATACAGGTGGTTGTCAAAATATTGGAAATATTTTAGATTTATAAGGTATTCTTTATTAATATGGTGTATGACGCTTTTAGCATGTAATACAGTTTGAATTCACATGGGAATCGAATCATACAAGTGCTGAATAGTGTGTAGAGAAATATTGTACCATTCTTCAAGGAGATACTGTGAAAGTTCATGGAGAGTTGCTGGTGGAGTATATCGATTCCGGATTGAACGCTCTAAAATAGACCATAATGGTTCCATTCTATTGAGGTCAGTGGACTGTGCAGGCCAAGGTAGATGTTTCACTTCATCCTCATGTTCATTAAACCAAAATTGGACAAGTCTCTCTGCATGAATAGGAGCGTTATCATCCTGGAAAATTTCATCCCTTGCGTGAAGCAAAGTTTGCATCATAGGATGGACCTGGCCAGCTAAAACTTCTTTGTACTTCTTCCCAGTTATCCTTCCTTACAAGGTTGCAATTGGGCCAGTAGAAAACCATGACACGGCTGCCCATAGCATGATGGATCCACCTCCATGCTTGATAGTTGGAGAGAGACAATCACGATTATACATTTCTGCAGGTGTCCTCCAAACATACACCCTTTCTGTTGTAGGGAAAAGTGTGAAAGGTGATACATTTGACCACATAATAGTCTTCTACTTATGAATCGACCAGGTTTTGTGGTTGTGGCACCCCGTAGATGACGTTTAGCATGAACATGCGTGGCTTGGGAATTGCTGCTCTGCCCTAAATATTCTGTTTTTGAAAATGCCTCCTAACTGTACTTATTGACATTGGAGAATCCACATGCTGATTGAGCTCTGTAGTCACTTTGGCTGCAGTTGTTTCATTTTTAGACATTACAATCCGCTTCAATACTCGTCAGTCTCTTTCACTCAGCTTCTCTTTCCGTCCACTATTTTGCTTTGCTGAGCTTCTCTTGCTGCGCTGTGTGTACACTGTCATGACTGTGGACACTGTATCTTTAGAAATGCCTAATAGCTTGGATGTTTCAGTCACAGTTGCTCCAGCTAGTTCTGCTCCTACAATATGACCTCTTTGAAACTCTGTGAGGTCTGACCTTTTATTCTCTTGACTTTCTTACCTTTTACTCTCTTTTACCTTTACCTTCTTGACAGAAATCTAAGATATATGTATACAATTTCACTGGAGCTACCTCATGCTACTATGATATATACTCCTTATATTAAAAAAAAATAGCTAGGATTATATTTTATTGCTAATGAAACATATATGTTACTTTTATTCACAGGTGTTTCCATTATTTTGATAACCACCTGTATGTAAACAGCTATTTTCCATGCTTGTTGTTTTCGTCTAGTTTAGCCTGAGCCATTATTTCATGTGTCTGATATTGACATAGAGGCACTATTTTTCATCTCCCTAGGTAATTCAGAACAAAAAGGATTAATGTTATTGACAAGTGAGGAAGAATCTTCAGATGGTTACCTATTCACAGTTTGTGAACAACCTACTTATCAAATTTTCATACCTTCCCCATGGAATGCAGTTGTCTGATGACATTTGTTTGCTCATGTGTGCCCCTTATCATTTGGTGTGAATCTGCATAGAATAACTCATTCAAACAATCCTCATCGAAGCCCAATTTCTGGTCAGGTTATGAGACATTATTCTTGTCAGACTGTAGTTCCTTCAAATGTGCATATCAACTTAGAGCAAGCCTCTTAGAAGTAGCTTTGTTACCATGCAAATGGAAAGACTGGATGTTGGAGCCACGAGGAAGAGAGACAAGATTTGCTCAAGAAAATGTGTTTCCTGCCCCTCCTCCAGAATAACTACTTGACTTTATGTTAATGTAAATATATATGGCACTGGCTGATATCAGTAGGAAGCATCAGAGTACCCTCCATATAGCCAGTACTTAGTATTAGGTGACTTTGTTCTCATCAGTGTGAATGGAAAGAAGTTCTCTTCAAATTAGAAAGCCAGAAATGCAGTGTCTAAAGTGGTAAAAGAGATGCCACAATTTAGACTGTTTCACTTTTTTTAATTGTTGACTGTAAAAAAGTGCAATTTTTTGACAAAAGCTTTACTTTGAGATATTAAAAATAATAAAAATTAAAAGACTTGAGTCTTCCAGTTTGGAATAAAAGA